AGCACCCTTGAAGCTTTTGGCTTTGGGCCTCTTTCCATCGAGGCGCTCCGGGTCCTGTACCACAGTGCCTCCAGCCTGCTCAAGGTGAACGGTGTGCTGTGCTCCCCGTTCCCGGTGCATCACAGCATACACCAGGGCTGCCCCCTCTTGGGCATACTGTACGCACTGGCCATCGAACCGCTGCTGCATGCTCTGCTATGTCACTTGTCTGGCTTAGCCCTGCCACTGGCACTGGCACCGGGCCCAACCACCGGCTCCCCAATCTGGCTGACGGCATACGCGGACAACGTGACAGTCTTCCTGGGCAGCCAGGAGAATGTGCAGGCCCTGGTGGACTGCCAACGCACCTACGAACTCGCTGCATCGGCCCCCATCAACTGAGGCAAGAGTGACACGCTCCCACTTGGGACGTGGACCAGCAAGCCACCTCCGAAGCTGCCAGAAGTCCTCACCTGGCACCGGGAAGGCCTCAAAGCCCTGGGAGTGTTCCTGGGGCCGCCGGCCTTTGCAGCCCGCAACTGGGAGGACATGGCAGAGGGAGTGGAGACCCGCCTGCGGCGCTGGCGCTGGCGCTTGCCCGCCTTCTCCTACTGCAGCCGGGTCCTCATCACCAACAACCTGGTGGCGGCGACCCTGTGGCACTGCTGCGCTGTGCTGGACCCTCTGCTGGAGCTACTCGAGAAACTGCAGTGGCTCCTAGTGGACTTCCTATGGGACGGACGCCACTGGCTCCCACGAGCTGCCCTTTACCTGCCCACCACCGAGGGGGGCCAGGGCCTGATCAACCTGGCCAGCAGGGTGGCTGCCTACTGCCTGCAAGCCCTCCAGCAGCTCCTGTATGCCGAGGACCACCTCCCATGGCAGCAGCTGGCGTGCCAGTTCCTGCACCGAGTGAGAGGCCTTAGCTTTGACTGGGAGCTCTTTATGCTGGACCTCACCTTCCTGAACGGGGCGGTCCTTCCCCCGTTCTACCGCAGCATGGTGCGGGCCTGGCGGGCTGCCTTCCATCTCTGTCCCTAAGCCAGGCACCTGCGTTTCCTGCAAGTGCTTCAGGAGCCCCTGGTCCACAACCCAGCCCTGCAGCATGTCGTGCCAAGTCTGGCCTCCCTAAGCCTTGTGGCTGCTCTCATCGAGGCGCACACCACCCACCTGGGGCACCTCCTGGACCCTGCTCAGTCGGGCTGGCTGTCACCCGAGGCCCTGGCTGCCCAGATGGCACTGCGCTCTGTCTGCACTGTGGGCCGGCTTCTGTAGGTTGTTAAAGCCACCCTCCCAACGGAAGCAGCGACCGCCCTAGAAGGCTATCTCCAGGCTCACCAGGCCCTCCCCACCACAGACGCCACAGGTGATGACTTCCCACCACTGCTGGTCATCCCAGCAGTGGCCAGTGAGCTGGCTGACTGGCCCAACACACTGCTCAGGCTCCCTGTGCCCCCCAGCAGCAATATGGGCTGCCCCTTTGGCACACTGCCCTGGAAGGGACTCTACGCGTGGGTGGTGCGCACCCGGCATGCCCAGGTGCTGGCCGGCTGCCCTGACACTGTGTGGTGGCAGCACCTGGCGTGGCCTGGGACCCCAGCATGATGCACACTGTACAAGGTGCCCACCGCCAAGAAGACCGGCGACCTCCAGTGGAGGTTGGTGTATGGCATCCTGGCAACTGGCACCATTGTGCACCACCTGGACCCGGTGGCCTCGGTGGCCTGCTGCTTCTGCCCAGGGGTGCTGGAAGAGGACGTTTTCCATGCCTTCAGTGACTGCCCCCGGCTGTGGCCATGCTTTGCCGCCCTCAGGGTGCTGCTTCGGGCACTGGGCCGGGACTTCTCAGAGGACACTTGCATCTACTTCCTGTACTGGGCGGCCGAGCAGGCCGCAGTCAGCCTGGCCAACTTCCTGGTGGGCCAGGCCAAGATGGCCACCCTGAAGAGCTGGCAAAACCAGCTCATTGGGACTGGGATGCATGATGACCAGCATGCTCTTCTGCCTGCTGGTGCGGGCCCGCTTCTCACTTGAATTCAAGCATGGAGACCTCCAGCGGATGGTGTCCACCTTTGAGGAACGCTGGGCCATCAAGGGGGCACTGTGCTGAGTCGAGGTGGGACGCCTGCTCCTTGCCCTGTGACGCCACCAGCTCCTCAAGGTGCGGAGGCGCACCCAGCGAGCCAAGACCTTGGGCTTTGTCCAGGCGGGCCGACCCCTCATGTCCTGAGGCCCCCCGTAGGCATCCCTGCTGGCAGAACTGTATATATGTAAATACTTCTTTTGTTCTTTGTGTTTCTGTTTTATTGTCTAGAGTGTGAGGGCAGGCCTTGTAGACCATGAGCCCAGGCATTGTCCTCGAGGCCCAGATCCTCGAACCAACCTGTACATGATGTTGACTGCCCCACATTTGTCACCCTCCCTGGAATAAATGTCTTTAAGAGTCAAAAGTCTGTCCTGCCCAGGGCAGGGAGTTGGACTTGATGATCTACAAGGTCCCTTCCGACCCTGCTTCTATGAATCTGGCTCACAGCAAGTCCCTCAGCCCTGCCGGGTCCAGGTGCAGCTGGTCCCCCACCCAGGGCATGTGGCGGGGTGGGGGTGGCACGGTAGCCAGACTCTGCTTCCTGGCAGCTTTAGCAGCAGTGGCTCCTTCCAGCTGCTGCCACTGCATAACCCAGCCCCACTACCCAGGCACCCTGCCCCATCCACCTTGCACTAACTGTCAGGGGAGGGTGGGCTCATGCAGGCAGGGCAGTGACCACGCAGAGCCGGGGCCAGGGCTGGGGCCAAGCCACAATCGGCTGCCTGGATGTCTCTGTGACAGGTGCCAGTTCAGTGGGCAGGGATGTGCAGGGAGCAGATCCTGGCTCTGCCCTGTGTCTGGGCCCCAGCCCCACACTATCACCACCGCCTGCAATTTTCACACCCAGGCTCTGCTCCCTGCCCACCCATGGCCCCATCTCATTCACCCAACCAAGCGCACCCTGCCCACGGGGGTCCCAGACCGGTCTTCATGGAGACCCTGGGGCCAAGGCCGGGATCACCAGGTGGTGAGAGCGCAGGGCTGGGGCCCAGGGCACAGCCACGATCTGCTCCCACATCTAGTGATATACCACTTAGGGTATTTTGATGAGCTGTTGCTGGAGGGTGGGGAGGGGGGCAATGAGGGTGCAGACCCACTCTGCAACAGCTCACCAAAACACCCTAAGTGGCCTTCCAGCCCAAATAATTGCCCACCCCTGCTATAGCAGAAGTGCTCATGGAACAGCCTGTCGGATTCCAACAAATCTGCAAATTCTACTAAATACCTTGTTACAAAAGGAGCCTCCTCTCTAGCCAGTTTTCTCAACTCTCTGACCTCCAAGTCTCTGGGCCTTCTCTGCCTAGAGTTCTCCTCCATCTGTCTGACTCTCCCTCTTTCACATATTTGGTGATCATAAGTTTCTTTTGCTTGGCTTCTGTAACATGTTGATCCTTGCAGGGAGCCTGCCTACAACAAACGGCAAAACTTGCTGGCAAGAAACAAATCCTTTCCCTCTGCAGGAGCTGTTGAAACTCCTGTGCTTGCTGTATTTATACTGCCAAGATCAGAAGCTCTCCCTTTATTGTGCATGGTGTTTCCTGCCTGTTCACACAGCAGCACATGATTCCACAACAGACACAACCGAATCAACTGGGATTTGGTTCTCGGAAAACCCTTTCCCCTGATTTTTCTGTTTGCCGGGTGGCATTCACAAGCATTAAGCAAATGACCAGGCAGCAACAGGTAGTGACTTCAGCAGGACCTGGGAGTCAGCAAATCTAGCTTGGACACTGCCTTGTTTGGACAAATTGCTTCTCCTTTCTTAGGCTTCTTTGTCCATCTGTTACATGAGGATACTCAATTATTTAGCTGTTAGTGTATTACCGTGTTCTACTTCTGGGATAAGTGCATAATTTGTCTAACACCAAGGCCAGGTCAAAGGTTAGGTGGGTGGCAAAGTCTCACACAAGAAAGTGCCTTGGCTGACCCAGAGGACAGTTTGATTTTAGACTACAAGCTCCTGGAGTTAGTGGGCCTATCTTCTGATGGGTTTTGTACAGTATTGAGTGCACAATCAATACATAACCAGGATAAAACAACACTAATATTAACAGTATTGTGGTAGTACTCAGGACCCAATCAGGATTTCAGCCCTTCTTTGCCAAGGCATTGTGAAAATATGAGTATACAAAAGAGGACTTGGTGAAGACTGAATGGGGGTTATGACTATTTTTGCTCTAAAGTGGGTCCCATTGATCCTTCCTGACCAGGGGCATTTTGCAGCCTGGAAGCACATCTCTGTAGGACACTGCCCCTCCCTCCCCTGGGATGACATACCCTTTTTGCAAAAGCCACCAAGCTTTGTTGGGTCGATAGAACCCAATCAGTTGTTTTCTCTTCGATTGATGCATGGTGAGTTTGTTATCTGGCAGCTAACAAGAGGCAGTTTTCTATCTGTTTACTATAAAGAAAGCAAAGCAAACTGCCGGCTGGGGACAGGCGGCTGAACGTTTACTGTCAATACAGCTGGAGAAAGAAAGGCGATATAAGGAACAAGGAGCAGAGGCTGTGGACTGCAGCCCACATGAGTGATCTGAGTATAAAAATGCCAGAAGAGATAGCAAAAGAAAGTGGGTGGATGGAAATCTACTAGGGAGCACTTCCCTGTGCTTGGAAAGGGCTGATATATGATCTAGCTAAGCGATAAGACACATAAAGTATTTTGGCAGACAGATGATAATGCTGGAAAGCTTTCTATGCCCAGCAAGGTTTGAAAAGTGCTTCAGACTCAACCGAAAGACAAGGCAGTATTTGGGATTTTTCTAGATATGCCTCTATGTAGGAATTGCTATTTGAAAATAATAGCAGTAATCACAGAGTTTGTAAACAATGGCTGGATGGGGTTTTCTTAGTGAGTTGTGAATGACTGTTGTAAAGCAGAGCAAGAAAGAACAGGCATCCTTCCTAGTTTGTCTCCCCTCTTCTTCATCCACAGAGGATGTAGGTGTCTGGGAGCCACAAGACAAGAAGGGCAGCAGGCAGAAAGGCACAAGTGGTTCTGAAACAGCCCCAGCCAGTCAAGAGAGGGAGGGCTATGACAAGGAAGGAAAGACAGAAGGACATCTTACCATGAAGCAGTTCACGGATGAAGATGTACAGTATTACCTCCAGACCAAGGTAAGACTTTGCACCTGTGTCTTTTCTTTGCCTCCAGAACCAGGGATGATCTGGAAATGTCCAGAGCTCAAGGACAGGATGCTTTCCTGAGCCCTTGAATCTTGGGATAAGATTGGCCTGCATTCATGGGACAAGGATTTGAAATAAGGGTATCCAGTGCTTTGGGTTCTGAACAACATACGAGAGGTTGATACAGTGGCTTATTAGCTTTTCCCTGACTTGTCATCTGGTTCCTCTTCCAAAGATGACTTGGGGTTTAAGCTCTAAAATGTAGACTTTAAGATGTGATTACAGCTAAGAAATCTTCTAGGGTCTTATTCTATCCATTGAAAGGTCCTGCCTTAACAGGAGCAGGACAAAAAAAAATAGCTGCTGTGATTGCCCCTAGGTAAGACAGTGTCTATGTTTAGGAAATAGTGGGGAGGTGGATACAGTAAAACTGACCAATCCTTTCCATGAACTTTGGATACTTCTCTAAACTAAAACCAGCTTACTTTCTGAAACTGGCCCAGCATTGGTGCTAGATAAGTAAATTAGCATTGGCTTTATCAGCACAGCCAGGCAAGAACCAGACTTTCTGTTTCATGGGGTATTAAAAAACAAAACAAACCCTCCCCCCAAGCCCCAGAAGACCAAAACAAAAAACAAAAAAAAGGAAAACGAATCTAATGAAATTATATTCCAAAATAAAAGTTATCTGGGGTAAATCATAATTTTTCCTCACAAAAGCAAAAAATTTCTTTCCAATTTTAACTTTATTTCATAAAATTTGATATAATCATTAATTATTTGGACAATGGGATTGAGTGCACAGTTAGCAAATTTACAGATGACACAAAGCTGGGTGGAGACTTTCTGGCAGCTAGGTTTGGGATCTAAGATTACCTTAATAAATTGGAAAAATGATCTGAAATTAATTAAATGAAAGTCAATAAGGACAAGTCAAATGCAAAGTCTTGCATTTAGGATGGAAAAAGTCACATGCACAAATACAGACTGGGGAATGACTAGCTAGGCTGAAGTGCTACAAAAAGGGATCTGGGGGTTAAAGTGGACCATACACTGAGCAAACAGTGAGCTTTTGTTGCAAAAAAAAAACAGGAAAAGAAAAGAAAAGCTAATAGCATACTGGACTCTTATTAACAGGAGTGTTGCTTGCAAGGTAAAGGATGTGATTTTTTTCCTTCTACTCAGCACTGGTGAGGCCTCATCTGGAGTACTGTGTCCAGTTTTGGGCACTGCACTTCAAAAAAGACATGAACAAATTGGAAAAGAGTCCAGCAAAGAGCAAAAAGAGACAAATATTAGACATCCAGGAGATGAGATTTATGAGAAAAGGTTTGAAGACCTGGGCTTATTTATTCTGAAAAAGAGAAGACACAGGGGCAATTTGATGACAGTCTTCAAATACCTGAGGGGTGGTTATAAAGAGAATGGTGATAGACAGCTCTCTGTGGCTGCAGGGGACAGGACAAGGGGTAAAGGTCTTTTAGATTACAGTAAGATAAATTTAGGTTTGAATATTAGAAGGGACTTTCTCACTGTGACAGTGGGTAAGCATTGGAATAGATTACCTAAAGAGGTTGTGGAATCTCTATCCTTGGAAGTTTTTAAGAATAGATTAAACAAACATTTATCTAGGATGGTTTAAAGGGCTTGGACTAGATGATCTCCTGAGGTCCATCCCAGCCCTAATTTTCTATAATTCTAGAACACAGGAAAAATAGAAATGTCATTTTCAAATGGAAATCTGAAACCTTCTGTTGTGAAATGGTGGAAACATTTCAACCTCCTAGAAACCCTTTGGTGTTTGCCTTCCCTAACTGGTTGTTTTTTCAACACTGACATTCTTATGAAATGTTTCACTTCAAATTAATTGACATTTTCTGATGGAAAAATGCTCTGTTGAAAAATTTCCAGCTAGAGCTATTGATCAGTACTTCCCTATGTGTAGATGAATGATTGAGGAGGCAGAGGGAACAGTATTGCACAAAGACTAATGACATTGTATTGCCTTATTGCCTGCAATGGATACAAAGAAACAGAATTGGATTTCGTTAAACAAGGTTCAGAACCATCAGCAATTGCAGTCCCATTGGAATATTTCCATCTTCCAGCAGGTTCCCTTTTGCAATAACTCAATGGCTCTGATGGGTTCTTGTCTTCTATTTATTCTTAAGTCATAGGTCTTCCCCTCAGGCAAGGCAGCCAATAGCCAGCCAGCCACCAGCTGTGCCTTCAAGCTGCTGCCTGATTTTCCTAAGTTAGATTCACTCCAGTATCTGATTCATGGTCTGATTTGTCTGATGCCTTGATCCTTAAGATCCTGCCTTTCTCCACTTATGCAGTGAAGAGAAAGCCCAAGCAAACATTGGACAGAGGCCTAGCTCAAACTTGCTCCGGGATCTCAAACCACCCCCTTCCTTTGATATTCAACATACTTATGATAATATTATCATTATTATACATATTATAGTGTATTCATTATAACATATCATATAAATATTATAATAGTATATATCTATATAAAAGCAGCTTTTCAGTACAGTATCTATAACCTTAGAGATATCAGGGGAAAGCCTGTTCTCAACCAAACTTCTATCCTGGTACTAAAAACTCCAAAGATTCTGGTACCTGGGGCTTGCTACTACTTCTAGATGTAGTAAAAGCTTGCATGGCACTGGAGAGGGAAGATTCATTCACAAAGTGCTATTACTCTACAAAGATGTTTATAGTGTGATCAAATAGTACAAATAGTATCAAGCCACATTTCTGGCATCCTTGTGTTGCTTGTTCTCTCAGCCTCGTCTCAAGGAGATAAATATAGGCAGCAGTGTGTGCTTTTTGATAAAGATGAGCTTTTTTTAATTATTTGTTGGTTTGGTACCAATTGCTATGTATACATTAAAGAAATACACCTTCCACTTGAAGAGGAAGGTGGTGAGGTTAGTTCCTGACGAAGTCTATTCTATGCTGCTGGATCAGCCCCTGAAAAGCTCTTTATCCCATCCAGACAACCTTTACCCTTAGTTTAAGAGTGACGTGCAGGAATCAGTATAGTATGGAGTCTCCTAAGTGCTGAGGTTTCATTCCCTGATGTGTATGAGTAGGTGGTAGTGGTGGTTCATGTGCGGTAAAGAATGAACAGAGCTGCCTGTCACTGGTGCTCAAATCCGTTCTGTCTGACCTGGTCGGTGAGTTGCTTCATGCAGATGAAAAAGACCTTTAATGAAAGGTGATAGAGTAGCATTGGTTGGCACAGCAGGCTGGGAATTTGGAGACCTGATTATATTCTTGCCTCAGCTGGTAACTCACTGCAGCTTAGGGCATATCCACACTGCAGCTTATCCAGAGCTAGCTTCATATGAGCTGGTTTGGATGCCAATAGCAGAGTAACTGTGGAGGCACAGAGTTCAGCATAGGCTGTAAATCCACTTGAGATGCTGAGTAAATACTTGGGTGGTTAGTTGGTTAAAGAGATGTAGTTAGCCATGTTAGTTGGTGCCAAGCTCTTTGCTGCCACTATTATTAGAGTGTGAGAAAGCTGTTTTAAAGCTAGCTTGCATAGATCCACATAAAAGGTAGCCACAGTGGTCAGTATAGTGTAAACAGATCATATCTCCCCATCTCTGAAATGGAGGCAATGGTAATTTCCTATCTCTATTGAAGCACTCTGTTCTTTGTAGCCAACTTGTTATTTCAGTTCTCTAAGTGGTTTGATTGGGGTTTTAGCTGTAGGTTGTGGTTGGGTTTCATTTTCTCCCAGCTAGCTCCATTGATTCTACTTACCAGTTTTTGGGTTTCTTTTCTGCTGTTCCATCCAGCTAGGAAGTATTTGACTGGATGATAAAAAACAAGCCAATCAGAACTTGCAGCCAAAAGCTCAGCCAAAATGGGTGAGGCACTGGGGGATGCAAGGAGGCTTGCTATGGACAACACTTCTCCATTGTCCTGCATAAGGATACTTGGACAGAGGAGTAATTAGCCACCTATTACTTAGTTTATTTAGCAGTGTTGATGACCTATTTTCAGAACAGTTTGGCTTGGAGGAGCCTCCATCCCATTATGGTAAATGTATAAGGAGCCTTTTTAGAATATGGAAATGTTCTTCACTAGGTGTGATCCTTGCATGTTTCTCCTGTTAAACCTTGAATAGTTGCCTCTTCCAGGACTTTTGTGTAATCCCCATGTGATCTTTGCAATTTTGATCACGTGGGAAGTTCCTGATTTAAGCTTGTTCTTTATCTAGTTTTTCCATTTTACACCTCAGTCCCTCACAGGCCAGGTTCCACTGAAACTCTTAGGCTAAGTACAGACAGTCAAAAAGCCAGAGGCTGAACTGATTCATTCTTTGCAGGTTAGTCTAAGCTGTGTAGATTGAACCGATAAGCAAGTGAACAGACGTTTACTTTTGATTCTAGAAATGTAGCCACATGCCTGCAGTGGCCCAGGGCAGAAGCCAGGGGATGCTAGAGCATGCCTTCCTGCTCTTCTAGAGCAGGCAGCTTGGGCCAAGGTTAGCCTGTGAGCTCCCCTGTGAGGGGGTCTTTACAGGGGAGGTGCAAAGCAACCTGGGATGCTGGGGGACTGTGAGTTAACTTGAATCTGGAGAGGATCTGGGATAGAAGTACAGTAAACCGATTTAATCTAAATCAGTTAAGTCTGATACTATATCCAACCAGGTTTATCTTAAACTGGTTTCAGCCATTTTGAAAGCAGCTTATATGCATTGAACTTCTCTTGTGTTACAGATTTGAACCAGTTTTTGATCATTTATGCTGGTTTATGTGTAATTTCTGTCCCTAGCCTTAATGATGACTGATGAGCGGATACTACCTGAACAGAACACATATGCAGCAAGGCAAGCTCTTTCCAGGGGATCTCATAGTTCCAAGTGAGATTAGCCAAGGAAGAAAACTCATAATCCTATAGAAGTGAAATCTCTTCTGTCTCCAGGATACAAAGCCAATAAATGCTTTTTAACATTGCTAAGGACTGAGCATGTTGTCCCCAGCACAGAATATTTTTTACCACATCAGGCTACAAGGAGACATCTCGTTTGAGGTGATCCTGACTGTCTTGGGTTTTGACCCAGATACAAACAGGAGCACCACAGTCATTTACACAGATAGCCCTTCTGAACTGCATGGCTGTTCCTCTGCCAGTAGTTGCCAAGCAAGAGCACACAGCCTGAATGGCCTGTCCCTGGAATAAACAGCAATTACTCTACAGACAACATGGATGTGTGTGGAAAAGAGCAGACGGGGCTCTACCAATTCAGGCTAGCCAGAGCTCATAGTCACCATATAGGATCAGCTGGCACTTGTCAGGAAGAAAACCAGAAATGTTTTTCCCTTAAATTTTTGTATACATGTAGGTGCACACACATGCACGCACATGTCAAGATGCCCCATGTTTGTTGGGTCTACTCAGGTAATCTCTTGGGTGGAGCTGGAGCTTATTTGTAACCAGCTGTTATGTGACGTGACTTCCTTGGTATCAACAGGTGGAACAGCGACACCTCCTGGTGTCCAAAACAGTGGATGAAGTGCAGATGATGATCCAGCAGCTGACCACGGAAGTTAGCTGCAGGGACATACGATTCCAGCCCATCTCCAACTCTGGCATTCACAATGAGAATTTTAAGGTAAGGGTGAGAGGTGAGGTTCTACATTATTTGAGAAGATGCGCACATCCATGCTGTCTATTAGTTCCTTAAGTACTCTGAGCTATGTTCTTTCAGACACTGAGTCGGATAGGAAAAAAATGTTCCCATTCCCAGAAAATGTTTGAGTTATTGAAAATCTTTCACATTTTGAATTGGGAAGGAACACTGAAATACCCCAAGATTGTTGCAAAGCAATAATCCAGAATAAATTCAGCTATGTGAAACAAAATATTTATTTTTTGATAATTTCCATACGTTTTGATGTGATTTTGAATGTTTTTATTTTTCACAATATTGTAAGTGACCTTAAATTTCTAGCAAAAAACCCTTTTGAACTGTAAAAAAGAAACCTTTTTATTTTGAAAATATCAAAATGTGACATTCTAGTAATTTTGCAAGTTTTCTCTAAAACTTTTTGAATACAGGAAATTATCAAAGTCAAACCTCTATAAAATTGGTTTTCACAAATGGGCAAATGGGAATATATTTCATTGGAAAAAAATCCCTATCATATCCATCCAGCAACCATTCAGTTCAATTTTTTAAAGGTTTTTATCAAATAAAATCTCATCTGCATCTGGTGACCAGATGCTTCAGCCTGGCTAGGATTTTTTCTTTATAAAAAGGCCTTACTTTCATTCCCATGTCCAGTATTCATACTGTTTAAGTCACGTGACTGCCAGTGAGAGTTCTTCAAGATTTCTTATATAGGTATAGAAGTAAAGGTTATTTACATAAAAAACCAAAACAGAAAATGGAAGAGAGTAACTGCCTCTTACTGTGATCATAAGGAGACTATTCACCCAAAATGATCATCAGAAAATAACAGTCTAGCAGCTACATCTTTTATGTAAAAATCCCACCCACTTTTTCAGAATGGCCAAACAAACAGTTTCTGCCCAGGTCAAGGCTGGTGTAGGGTGAGATTTAAGTAGGTCTAAAACCTCTTACTTTATACATCACTGGTTCAGACACAGCTGAACTAAGTCACTGTCCTCTGACAGCTGTTTGATGGGTCCTAGAAAACAGGTCAGTTTCTAGATAAAAGATTAAAAAATGATAGAAGACAAAAACCATTCACCCAGTTGTCAGCATGTGGGCAGCCAAGGTCCAACCAGCTGTAGAGATGGGTCTCTTTGTAGGGCAGAGGTGGCTAGTTCTGGGTAAGGTGGGGTGTATAAGATGTATAGGGAAAGCAGAGTTTGTCTCTCCAGAATCGCCAACATGGACCCTCCCAGCACAACATATGAGCATTAGACTTAGTCACTGGGAATGACAGCTGTGTAATTTATTCTTCACCATTAGGTTCAGAAGAAACTCCTAATGCTTTCTGAGCTACCTGTCCGACACGTGCTTTCTCTGTTCTCTGCACTTCTTATCTTACTCTTTGCTTCTCTCAGGATCAGCCCGCTTTAATGGCCAAATGGTCAACACTGCTTCGGGGAAAACGCTCACTCCACCGATCCATTCAGGTACAAAAGCCTACCATAGCCTCCTCCAAATACTGCCATGCCTGCTTTGGCCTTTCCCACCCCTTCTCTCCATACCCCACATCCCTCACCCTTTGTGCCAGTCCCCCTGTGGCCATTCTGTCTTCCCTGCAAGGGGTTTCTGTACATGTTCAGAGCACAAGGCCCTCCTTTCTAACCTATGACTTCCTTCGTGCTAGACTGAGGTGCCCAACTTAGAGATGCTTTGCATTTTGGCAGGAACCCAAGGACTGAGCTGCATCTAATTTGCATAACCTGGTATGGACTGTTCTTAACAGATGGGTCACAGACCACAGGTCCCAGCATCCAATGCTCTTTTTTGGCTCCAAGGATTCAGACAAATTAGCACATGTGTAGCAGGGCACCAAGGTGCCTGCTACTTGGAGAGCCGGAGTAATGGCTCAGGTGCCAGTTGCTAGGGGCAACCAGAGGGAGCTAAGGACACACACCTGTCTGGTCAGCTGACTGAAAGGGGCAGGGCCTGGCTCCAATATAAATCACAGGCCAAAGGCCGGGAGTGGGGGGCTGGTGGTCAAGGAGGAAGGAGCTCGGCCCTGAACGAGTGAAAGGGAAAGGCCTGGATGGGCGAGCAGCTAGGGACACGAGTGAGAGATGGAACACCTGTGGTGTGGTTTGGAGGATGTCTTAGCCATGAGGCATAGATTTGTATTATAGCCGGGGGGCTTGTGTTTGGTTGTTGTTACACCAGAGGATTGGGAGAGGCTATAAGGGGATGGAGGAGGCCTCATAGGGGGACCACGTCAGAGGGTGGACCCCAGCCCCAGAGAGAGGGGCAGCACTGCTGAGAAGCCCCAGAGAGAGTGGGCAGCTAAAGGAAGAAGCCCCGAAAAGGGGGCAGTAACCATGAAGCTCCAGCACAGGGAGCAGCGACCGTTAAGCCACAAGGGTGCAACAGAGGGAGTGTGCCTCTCAGACTGCCAGAAAAGGGCAGTGCAGGGAGGGTGCTGACCCAGAGCATCAGCAAGGGTGCAGCAGAGGGGGAGGTGCCGTCTCCGAGCACCAGGAAAAGGCACAGTATTGGGACAGGGCTGACTCCGAGTACCTCAGAAGGCAGGACAAGCAAGGTCGTGGAGAACCTGAGCGCCAGTGAGGCTCGGGGTGGGCAAGAAGCCCCAGACAGTGGGTAGCGGGAAGCCCAGAGAATGGGCAGTGAGAAGCTGGGGTTCTGCAGTGCAGCTACAATCAGCATGTGCCACCACACCCAGCATACAGTGGCCAGGGGCAGGCATCAGCTGGCTCAGGCCCCAGGGTCAAGCCCAGGGTCTAAAGGTCAGCCAGGGATGGCTAAAGAGCTGTCCCTGTCCCATGGCTTGAGGGCCTCCCAGCCATGTGGCTTTGGCCCCTGGCAAGAGGCTGGCCCTGTGCTGGTCTGGCTGATTAGGAGCAAATTTGCTCCTGATCAGCATCTACAAGTGCATACAAGTGTAAATACAAATAGTAGATTTACTGCACATTAGCCTATTTTGCTATGCAGTAGCTCAGTGGACAGTTACATACTGATGCTTCACTTTACTGTGCAGTAAAGCATCTCACGTAGAAGTGCCCCCTGTTTCTGTTTCCCCATCTGTAAAGAACAGCTAGTATTCCCCCAACCACACAAAGAGGGATGAAAGGTTTCTTTTACTAAAAGAAAAACTTTTTCTTTTAAATCTTTAAAGAATGTAGAGCTCCTAGGATGAAAGAGATTAGAGAATGCACATCAATATCAATTGGATATTACATCTAATAATCTCTAGGTATATCCCTATTCATTATACTAAGGTAATAATTTGCATTGCTTTTGCCTTCCATTGCTGGATTTCAAAATCTGGTCTCTCTCTCCTTTGTCTGCTGAGCTAGTTATCCCATCTTGTGCAATTACCCGTCAAGTCTTGGAAACCATGAAATGTGAGGTGGGAAGGATGGAGATTGCAGTAATAAGCTAGCCAGTGTATGTTCAGATTCCATTCTGGTAGAATTGCCCATGACCCTCACCTTGGCTTGCTTCTAATGACAACTCTCTCTTTCTAGAAGTAGTCTCACAAGCTGCTCCAGGGAACCATGACATAGACTCGCATACAGACCCGCCTGCGGTGGGACCTGCCTGCTCTGAGCTGCTTCCATTGCACTTCGGCTTTTCCCCTCCATGTTAGCATGTTTCTCTTGTCAGGGTGGTTAATCTGCCCTCAATTCCTCTATCAATCTCTCTGAACTCTTCCAGGTCTTAACACCTAGCCAGTTCCTCATGACTGTCCCACTGCGTGGCCTGACTGGGTACAAGGAGCGCCAGGTGCGGCGCTGGCGGTATTACACTGTGCAAGGAGAAAAGCTCCTCTCCTCAGTGCGGAACCCAGAGGAGCTGCACCAGTGGCTGGAGGTGGAGCAGTTTTCAAAGAGCCTCCAGCAGTGGCACGACACAGATATGAACTTCGAAGGTGATCTTGTTCCAGCCAAAGTCCTTGCTGTCTTCCGGGACCTGGTGGAGAAGTCGATTATAACCTGTGATCTCTCCAGTGAGTGTAGTGAGACATGAAGGGAATTGGACTATTAGCACTAATGCAGAAGATTGCTGCTGCTGCTGGCCCTAGGCAGCAGTGGCAGCCTCCTGCCATCCGGTGCACAGATCTGGGGGCCCACACCACTGGAAGGAGTCCAGCAATGCTGGGAGGGCAGGTTGAGCTCTGTGGGGCTGGTGGAGCCAGTCGGAGTGCAGCCCTGGCTCTCCCTGCCTTCTGCTGCCAGGCTGCACTCCGACTGGCTCTGCAGCCCCATGGAGCTTAGCCAGGTGGCTGGAGGTGGAGCGTGGCCCTGGGTCTCCCCACCTCCTGCCACCGGGCTGCTTCAAAACTCAAAACATTTCGAAATTTTCAAAAAGTTTTGAGTGCCCTCATTTTGTTTCAAAGTGGTTTCAAAGCTTTTTGTTTCACTTCCATTTTGCTGTTTCGAGCTTGAAATATGTCAAAACAGCTTCAAAACAAAACACTCAGCAAAATTTCGCACAGCCCTAGTAACAGAGCAATTCTGTTGCAAAAAACTCAGACCACAACATGGTAGTTTTTGCCACTGTGGATTCCTATTTGAAATCTCTGGGTTTAACTTGTGAATCATGTGTAGATGTTTGCATACCTAACAGTGCTAATATTATGCAACACCCCAAAGTACTCTTAAAAGAATCTTGTGGAATCACTGCCGTAAGAATTCAACCACCTTTTTTTGCTGTGAATTTACAGGAAGTAAGTTGTCTTTCTGCTAGCCCAGGAAGGATATACCTGGACTAGCCAGAAGGATATTGTGAAAGGGATGGAGCATTGGATCCAAACTTAGAAGAGACTATCCCTAGAGAAGCCTGAGCTGTCCATATTCTTCCAGGTGGCAACACTTCTTTTGGGCAAAATCCTGCTCTTTATTTTTGTTATTTACTTTAATTCTTTAGACAAATAGAATCATAGAACTAGAAAGAACCTCAAGGGTTATCTAGTGATGTACAGGATTCCATGGTCCTAACACATCCCAGAAAGATGCTGATCCAGCCTTTTTTCAGAAACCTTCAAGGAAGGAAATTCCACACCTTTCCTGGCAGCTTGTTTCACTGTCTTGCTGATTCTACAGTTAGAAATTTTTTTTCTAGGATTTAATTCAAATATTGGCTTCTCCTCTGTACCCAGGATGCTCTCAACCTAATTCTAGGTAATGTTACATGGTGTCACTCCCACCCACAATGCTACAAGCACCTTCAAAGCCGCTGTTGATATCCCAACCTTCCCTGCAAAATGAATGGAGGAGGTAATCATTGATAGGATGTAGTTTGTGTGTTAAACCCTCCTTTAGAGCTATGGCATTCACAAGTTGGTATCTTGTGGGATGCTACCTTATTAATAGTCAACATGCTTAGTTTTTAGAATCCTGAAAACATTTTATAGACTTCAGTTAATTAATGCACAACATAACTTGAGGTGGGCAAATATTTCCTTTTTCTCAGCTGGGTTAACTGAGGCACAGAGCTTGTGCCTTTTCCTAAACCAGGGGTGGGCTGGATTCAGCCCACCAACTGATGGTATCCAACTTGTGGGTGGGTGGCTGCAAACTCATGAGAGCTGGCCTGTGGGCAGCCAGTGGCTCCGGCTGCTGCATGGTGTTGGACAGGCAGGGCTGTTTCCGTCATGCTGGGCAGGTGGGCAGGACTGCTTCCACCCATTGCTGATGTGGTGGCGTTGACTGTGGACCTTGGTGAATGCCCTGAGCTCTACCTGGAACCTGCTGGCTGTGTCCATAGCTGATGCCGGCACCCAGCCAGGGCTGGTTCTGCCATGTCAGGGGGTGCTGGTGAATGCTGAGGACACAGCCAGCAGTTTCTGGGTCAGGTGGGGCTTGCAGCATGCTGCAGCTTCAGGAGGCATGGGGGTGGGGAGGGAGGAGACAGAGAGGTGTCGCTATTGAGAGAACCCCAAAAATCATTAAGTGGCCCTCCAGCCAAAATACCCACCTCTGTTCTAAACCAAAGCGAGACCAGGCTGCCTCTCTTCAAAGGATTTTGTCCAGAATGACATTCCATCATAGGACCGCAAATGCAGAAAGGCCATTTTCCCTCCCCAACTTAAACTCTAGATTTTCATCTTTGCAACATAATGGAAAGACTTCTTAAAATCTAGCTCATTTAGCAACTTGTTTTTCTAGAAAATTGTGATTACTATTGAGAAGGAGAGTGATGAAATGCAAATTCAGCACCACCAAACAGTTGCTGTGACTTGGCAGAAAAGTCAAATGTACTGACCTCTTTTTGGCTCACCTGTTTTAGTCACATGGAAGGCATCATGTCAAGGAAAAAGTCTGATATTCTTTAAAGCAGGCTCCCAAGCTGCTGATCCATGCACCACTGGCTTATGGTCCATGCTTATGCTTATGGAAGAAATGTTTGGTCATAGGATGCTGACCTGTCCTTCTTGCAGCCTGCTGAGGGGAGATCGGCATATGGTAGAAAAGAAGAAATAATGTTAAAACAGTGAGATTATTTTGCTTCAAACAGGACAAACTCCTCTCCTACCAAAGACAGCTAATGTTGCTGACACACTTCCCTGATATCACTGTAGCCTCTTTGCTGGCATGGTAGTAAATTTAGGGCCTTTGCAGTGTCTCATTTGATTGAAAATTTGGTGTCATGACGTTGCTGTATTTCCATGCATGCTTTATTTATTTACTTGTGTGCACCAGTCTCATATCTTTAGCAAGGTCACAAAAATAACAGCAGAGCTGCACTTGAGCTATTCCACTGGCAGCAACCCCAACTGAAATGCCACCGTTGATCCCTGTAGATGCCTGTAGATCCCTGTAGATGTCCCTTCTTTCCTTCCCTTTGCCTCACACCACAATGGTTCTGGGACCAACCCCCCATCCTCTTGTCCCGAAATCACCAACCCTTGGCCATGTGGAGCTCCTTCTTTCCAAGACCTAGCAGTGGCTGGTTCAAACAGACTTGAGGATCAGCCCTTTTTGGGGGGCTGCTTTGCAACACCAAGACATCTCAGACTGCTGGAGATGACTTGTATGCAAGTGCCCATCCAGACATATGAGTGCACCTAACTTGTGAGCTACTCATTAGGGTAGCAGCAAGGAGCTTAGTCACCACTGAGAAAATATGCCCTGTCCACCCAATCCATCTCTAGAGCATCAAGCCCAAAAATGAGGCAGTGAGGATGGGGGGGGGGGGA